CGGACATGCCAGAGTCCACATCAAATGGACTCAAAGCTTTCAATGGCGAATGGGTCTAGGATATTTGTAATCCTTGATTATCGACGATGAGCTAAACATTGTCCGCAAACCAGAATTTCCGGTGACCGAAATTCCATTTTGCTCGAGGATTATAGTTATATATACTCATGTCAATAATGGTTGTCCGCCTTCAATTTTTTTTTTATTGGAGGGGTGGGGGAATGAGGGCGGGATTATGTTATTGGGGTTGGGAGGTTGGGGAGGGGTGACTGGCCATTATTAAGCATGAGGTATATGTTATTCTGTGGATTACACTTTTAGAAAATGTGGAACGAAAGACCTGAAACATCATTTCTATCATTTCTTGATTTCTTGGACACGTATAAACCCAAGTGCATCGCGCTGACATACTTCTAAATCCTATATATATTTTTTCTATTTGGGATGACATAGAAGCATATGTTACCTTTGACTATTTTCCACATGCCTTTGGCATTGTACCATTCATAATTACAATCTTTGTCAGTGACAGACGTGAAACAACCTCGACGTCATTAAACGTAAACGATTGTTGTCCAGACATGTGAGAAATATTTATTTCATAATGCATTTTGCGGTTCATGTCACCAAAGAGATCAAGAAATAATGGAAATGAGTAGTGTTTGAGGCTTTTCGATAGGGCATATTTACTAGTCCGTTTGCTCCTGCTAGATGTAATACCTCTTCGTGGATCATTAGAGACTAACTTGATAACTTTGTTAAAGTTACAAACAAACACTTTTCTTCAGAAAATGATAGCAACGCTCTGGGTATTATTACATATATAACTGTACGTCAGTGTTTATAGCAATAGCCGGATTTGTATATGTACAGATATTGATGATAGTGGAGTTAATCCCGCACAACCATTTGATGTCTACTTACCCATGTTTTGTTTTTCATACTGCAGGGCACCCCACCCCACCCCTCACTCCAGCCCCTAATACCTACTGTGATAGCGATTCAAAGCTTGATCGTAGAGTTCCCACCCTCTTACCTCCCAGTGGTAAATGGAGTGTGGTTTTAGAGCGCTTTTAGCGATATTCCAGCGACGTGGGACTTAAAACCGAAAATGGGTTTCACACATTGTACCCATGTGGGGAGAAATCGAGGCCGGGTCTTCGGCGTGACGAGCAAACACTTTAAACTACAAGGCTACCCCAGCGCCTCTTTCCCTCACCAACCTTCCCATGTTTTCTCACACCTGTGTCGGTGGTGCAGATCTTGATTGAGTTGCTGACTGACGCCTCCCTGTTCGAGTTGGCACTTGCGCTTCTATCCACAAAGAGTTGCGCGGACAAAACTCCGACATGCCTGTGAAAATATCAGCATATATCGGACGGACTTGTAACGATGAGTATGGTTAAGGACGTGTTCGCACGTCACGCCGAAGACCAGTTCAGAAGAATCCGCAATAGGTACACTGCGTTAAGCCCTATTTCTGGTGTCCACCGCCGTGAAATAATCCTGGAATATTGCTAAAGCGGCGTAAAACTCACTCCATGCGTATTCGCTACGAGCACTTGCAAGATTGTTGCTGTGGCGATAAGAGATCAATACTCGCTCCCACTCGTCTCTAGCCGAAGCTACTGAAGCGATTTTATTGATGTATTTTCTTTCTGAAAGCCCATACTCACCCGCTCTGAATAGGCCACGCATAAACTTTCTTTCAAGATTGTGCGCTGTCATTGCACGCAGGCCATACCTGCTATAAAGTCGCTCGATCTTTACCTGTGATTTCCAATAAAATACAGTTGAAGTAACAGATGAAGTCATTTGTACGAGAGAGAGAGAGGGGGAGGGAGAGATGGTGGGAGTGAGGGGCCGGGAACTGGAGAGAAGCGAGCAAGAGACCGAAGAAAGGGCAGAGGGAAGGGTACATTACACCGACGTACCAGTTTCATCGCAATACTTGTCTCAGAACCCGCTGAGACCGTATAAAGCCTTCTGGGCGGGAGAGGCGTGTCCGTTGTCGTGTATCACCACCCTCAGGCCATACCCGTCTTGAAGGTTTCGATAAAATCTTCCGACTCCAAATTGATGACCATGGATAATCCTGGGAGGAATATTGCATGTAGGACATGTATTTAATGTGATCAGATGTTCTATGATGTATGATTACAAAATAAACAATAATACTAAAAGATTATTTTAAAACTGGCGAGACCTTTCCCTGTAAATCATTTTTGTATGGCGCTACCGCTACGACTACTACTACTACTACTACTACTACTACTACTACGACTACTACTACTACTACTACGGCTACGACGACCACTACTACTACTACGGCTACGACGACTACTTTTACTACTACGACTACGACTACTACTACTACTGCTACGACGACGACTACTTCTACTACTAGGACTACGACTACTACTACGACTACGACGACTACTTCTACTACTACGACTACGACGACTTCTACTACGACTACGACGTATACTACTAGGACTACGACTACTACTACTACGACTACGACGACTACTACTACGACTACGACGACTTCTACTACTACTACGACTACGACGACTACTTCTACGACTACGACTACGACGACTACTACTACGACTACGACGACTACTTATACTACTACGACTACGACTACTTATACTACCACGACTACTACTACTACGACTACGACGACTTCTACTACGACTACGACGTCTACTACTACGACTACTACTACTACGACTACGACGACTACTTCTACTACTACGACTACGACGACTACTACTACGACGACTACTTATACTACTACGACTACGACTACTTATACTACTACTTATACTACTACGACTACGACGACTACTATTACGACTACGACGACTACTTCTACTACTTGTATTTTGATCAAAAGTATGTGCCTACTACAGCGCTGTATCCTGCTCTGTCCTCAGGATTATTTTGTTGCTGATTCATGCGAGTTTGAAAAACTACAATGACTTTCTATGGAAAATAATCTACAATTAGAATGCATGTTTTCACAAAGACGCCATGAACAAATCAGCATTGCATTAGAGGCTTTCTTGTCGCAATAATGTTCAGAAGTGCTGACCGAAGTATAACATTATCAGTCGCGGGTGCAAACAAATAACCATTCCTACATTCAATGACATTTGGTGTTGATCAACACATTCTGGAACGTGTGGGGCGACCATTTACAGTTGATTGAATTCTGCATTTACATTACGCAACAGAATGCACTCAATGCAAACATACAAAACACATCTAATGGATGTTCAGATCCGTGTGGGTAAAGTATGAACATTCCAATAATGAAAAACATTACCAGCACAATAAAATTGCGCTATCCAGGAGACTCGCGGCGAATTATCAGCGCTAACATTCCGTATTATTGAAGTAAATATGGCGGGGTATAATATCAGATAAAAGAAACCCTAATCGAGTGTGTAACTTGGGTAATGTTGCCATTTAATGTGTAGTTAGTGTTTTCCGTATAATATTGAGCTTTGTACACATTTCAACTTTGCGTGTTCGATTTTAACAATTTAACAGAAAACATCATCCCATTGTCGTTTCCATAAAAATACTGTTTAACTGTAAAAGTATCTGTGAGAACATCGATCAGACTCTTGGGTAATTGTCGATTTTATTCAGCGAGTACACTTGTACAACTAAAACAACGTTCTGTTTAGCAAAGAAAATGCATTTAATGAATCGTTAGACAGTTTACTTAAAACTTGATATCATGGTTGTACCGGGCGGTGGGGTATACCATGGTTCAAGCGTTCGCTCGTCACGCCGAAGACCCGGGTTCGATTCTCATTACGGGTTAATGTGTGAAGCCCGTTTCTGATATACCCGCCGTGATATTTGCTGGAATATTGCTAAAAGCGGCGTAAACCTAAACTCACTCACACAGTTGTACCAATTTTAGTGCATGGAGAGGATTGCAAGTAATACGTATTATTGAGTCACGCTGCGAGTTTCAAACACTAACACCGGGTTATATCCGGGAAATGGGACGATTTCCACTTTATATACAAATCGAGGAACTGAGGTAAAATGCCTTTGGAATAATCTTGATAACTCAAAAGAACAATATATCGAATTGCATGAACATATTTAATATTTCCATTTAAGAAATAATTACAAATATTAGTAACTGTTGCAGCATTTACCAACGTCTACTTTCCGATCTGAAGCGAGTTACCCCAGAAAAAAGAAGAAGTATATGTACAAGTTATACGTTGAGTATGTGCGGATTAATCCACGAACTGGTTGGTAATACTACGAGCCGCGAAGCGTACTTAGTAACTATCTTACTAGTGGTGCTCCGATTAATTTAAATAACCGAAGATTGGTCGCAGTGACCAAACGACCAAGCAATCGATCACATTTTCTCATAATCGAACATAAACGATTTTGGAACTACTGTTTTAGTCTTTGAAATACTTGACAATGGAACATATCTTAGAAGTTGTCAGGGCCTGAAAACGTGTTTAATTCTTAGAAAACTCACTTCACTAACTGAAAAACCATGACTGAATATTTCTTGAAGACTCCGGGAAGATATATTTCTTGAAGACTCACTATTGCTGACTTGATCATCTTCTGTTTAAATACACGTAACAAATTAATTTCCATTTTCTTACATTTTGCTAAACATGATAAAAAATGGTGGATCTGAATGATTGACATCTTTTGTCTGTAGTATTCTTGGCGTGTCTTTGCGGTACGTTAATGGTCGACACTGAACCAGAATCATTCAACACTATTCAACACGTCGGATCATACAAGTGAGACCCGTACTCCGCTATGTATTTACCTGATTAGGGGCGGCGGGGTAGCCTAGTGGTTAAAGCGTTCGCCGAATACCAGGGTTCGATTCCCCACATGGGTACAGTGTGGGCAGCCCATTCTGGTGTTCCTGGCCGTGATATTGCTGGAATATTGCTAAAAGCGGCGTAAAACCTCACTCACTCACTGTTTACCTGATTCTGGTCCGCTTTTCGTAGCTTTGAATCCCTTGTTCTTGAGAGTGTAGCAGTTTCCAAGATCTCTGGACAAAAACGTCGTAAAGTTGCTGGAAAGCGAAACGTTGGACATAATTTTGGAGATCAAAGTAACCTGAATTTATTTTTATGTTACGTATGTTTATTGACGTAGCATGAAGTCTAGTTGAAGAATACAAACACAATTAGATGATAACAAACTGACTGGAAGAGCACATTGCAACACAAGTAATTATTTAAGATACTGTGAATAAACGTATGACTAGGATTACACTGATATAGTTTTCGCATACGTTTTCGCACGTGAACAGCATATATAACTGGTTTAACTGTTGGCACGTGTAAAACTGGAATGACCTTTGACCTTCTGCGCAACATTTGTATCGGTTTGTAGTCAACTTGCTGTACCTGTGGAAGGCCCAGATACACATTATACCATTATACTGCAAATAGAAGCGACAACACACGTTTCACATTCATAAGAAATCTCTGCTAAAAGCAGAGTCAATTGTACAATTGTGACTATATCATGAGCATATATTTGTTTCACCGACCGCGTCATACCAAAAGACGTTAAAATATGGTACTTGTTGGTCCCTGCCTGGCACTCGGCATTAATGGGTACAACAAGGACTGGTCGGCTCGGAGTCAGTATAATGTGTCTGAGTGGGGTATTCATGCTTCACTGCGGCATGGTATCTCCAGTGGGCTAGCACTATAAAACCAGCTTAAGTCTGGGCTTGGGTACAAACAGCCGCACACACACATACGCACGCATGCACGTCGTCATATGAGCGAAATATTCTCAAGTACGACGTTAAACCCAATTTCACCTCACCTCACCTTACATTTTTTCAGCAGTATTACATCTGTACAATGCTGTTTGTAAACAGACAATCCAGTGATTGTCACCATGCGATACGATGACACAGCATGTGTTTATGAATCACTATGAAATAGTGATGATACCAGGTGTTCGCGAAAGGTGAGCGTATCCTGCCCCACCGGTGGCACCCGACATAAACATATGCTAAGACCTCTTCATTATAGCTGTTTCGCCAGACCAATCATTAGGAATATAAAGGCTCACGTAGTTTCAGCCATTAAGTATAACTGCTCCTTTGGTTCTATCCCAATGGATATATAACACTGATTTGATCTGTGTATATTATAATATATATAAATCTGCTCGATATGTTGTCCCAGGTGACTTCTTATTCGTGTGTTGCACAAACGTACAAAAGAGATTGCCATGTCCAATTAGCAATACGCGAGTTCACATATATATGTGAAGTCTAATTTCGATCAGCAAATCCATATCTGTTATGAAATATAATCCCTCCAGTAAAAAAGTATAAATTTGGTATACCACTGGTGTATGTGTGTTGTAATGATTGCTTGATAATTTGTACCCAACTCAAAGGTAACTGGTGATGGTGAGATATTTTGAGTATTTTGCGCAAATTATGCAGCTTACCTGAAGCGTTAACAGCAACCCAGAACCAACTAATTAAAAGAAACTAGAATCCCATTTGTATTTGTACTTGTGATCGTGAGTTCCACTACAAGGACCATTACATATAATAATCGTATAAGCATAAGTATAAGTGCACAATGACCCAGAACATGTTCTTTCATGTGTTGCATAAAAATGAACAATCCAAACCAGGAATCCCCCCACATCACCCACTAAAACAGTAACAAACCAAAACCAAGAACACCACTCCCCCCTCCCATATAGCCCCAAAACAAAAACAAACCCACAAACAATAACGCACACCCATATCAACCCCCAAAACAAAAACAAACGATAAAGATACAAAACATATTACGCATTAGCTAACTAAAATTGTATGATGCCAATCCATGGATACCAATAAAAGTCTGTTTTCTCTATTATCTTCAACCTAACACATGTCTATGTTTACCTGGAACTGCACTTTCGTCCATTGATAGAGCACTCAATCAGCATAGTTTCAAGGTCATGGCCAACGCTCTGCCGGATGTCTCTGCAATGAGCATATGACGAATTGTGAGTGAATAGAGTGAATAATAGCACACTCTGTAAAATTAACATATTCTGTCGAAACGCATGATTACCTGATTATTTATGAACATGGAAATATTTTGACTGTAAAGTGCGAAGACCCGTGAAGATCTGGGCTAGAATTGATCTTCAGCAACCCATCCTTGTCGTAAGAGGCGACTAACGGGATCGGGTGGTCAGGCTCGCTGGCTGGGTTGCCACATGTCATCGTATCCCAATTGCGTAGATCGATGTTCATGCTGTTGATCGCTGGATTGTGTGGTCCAGACTCGATTGTTTACAGACCACCGCCATATAGCTTGAATATTGCTGAGGCGGCGTAAAACTAAACTCACTCACTCACTTGTGCGAAGAAGTATGCCGGGTCCCATTTGTCATGATATGCCATTGTGTTTAAAGATTTTTCTTCTTCGCCTTTCACATATACTACTTTCTGATAAGCAAGTATTACTTTTATGTGACATCGTATATACCTCTAATTACTTCCTCTAACTAAATGCTCGAACGTTTATTTTTTCAACGGAGTTACAGACCCGGCGCTTATTAGAGGCCCTGCGCTTTTTGCGCTTACTGGTGTACTGTGCTTATTTCTTAAACCGCTGCTTTACCCCAGCGCTTAGTAGAAATACGATAAATGTCATGAATGTTTGCGCCTTACTCATACTCTCCTCCCAGATAGTCGGCGATCATCTGCTTCCTGACAAAAGCATCGTCCAGGCCACTCGTTTCCTCCTCATAACACCCGTCCTCGTCGCACACGTACTCCGTGAAGGTTGTCAGGTCTACTTCGTCGGTGGCGTTCACACAATCCTTCAGAAAATCAAAATAATAATATCAGCAGAATACTAGCTTTGAACAAAGGACCCGTGAAGGTCCGGGTTAGAATACTGATCCTTAGTAACCCATGCTTGTCGTAAGAGGCGACTAACGGGATCGGGTGGTCAGGCTCGCTGACTTGGTTGACACATGTCATCGCGCAGATCGATGCTCATGCTGCTGAGCACTGGATTGTCTGCTCGAGACTCGATTGTTTACAGACCGCCGCCATATAGCTGGAATATTGCTGATTGCGGCGAAAAACTAAACTCACTAACTCAATTTGAACAAATATTCATCTTACATTATGAGCTCTTTTTAAGGCAGGATCGGTGTCCAACAGTCACAGTACAACTCGTTGGATAAACTCCTTGGGTAAAAAAACCCCTTAAATCAAGCTATGGGAGACTCGCAGGGAAGATTCTAAAGAGCAATAAAATGTCTGATGTGTTGCAGGTCATGTTATGGGGAAAACGTTGGGAAGATTCGAAAGAACAATAAACTGTCTGATGTGTTGCAGGTCATGTTATGGGGAAAACGTTGGGAAGATTCGAAAGAACAATAAACTGCCTGATGTGTTGCAGGTCATGTTATGGGGAAAAACGTTGGAAAGATCCTAAAGAACAATAAACTGTCTTTGATGTGTTTGCAGGTCATGTTTAAGGGGAAAACGTTGGGAACTAAATTCGATAATACAACAATAAACTGTCTGATGTGTTGCAGGTCATGTTATGGGAAAACGTTGGGAAGATTCGAAAGAACAATAAAATAAACTGCCTGATGTGTTGCAGGTCATGTTATGGGGAAAAACGTTGGGAAGATTCGAAAAGAACAATAAACTGCCTGATGTGTTTGCAGGTCATGTTATGGGGAAAAACGTTGGAAAGATCCTAAAGAACAATAAACTGGCTGATGTGTGTTGCGTTATGGGGAAAAACGTTGGGATGTTAAAGAACAATAAACTGTCGTGATGTGTTGCAAAAACGTTGGGAAGATTCAGAAAATAACAATAAACTGTCTGATGTGTTTGCAGGTCATGTTTTGGGGAAAACGTTGGGGAAGATTCTAAAAGAACAATAAACTGTCTGATGTGTTGCAGGTCATGTTATGGGGAAAACGTTGGGAAGATTCGAAAGAACAATAAACTGCCTGATGTGTTGCAGGTCATGTTATGGGGAAAACGTTGGGAAGATTCGAAAGAACAATAAACTGCCTGATGTGTTGCAGGTCATGTTATGGGAAGAGATCTAAAACGTTGGGAATGATTTGGAAAGATTCGAAAGAACAATAAACTGCCTGATGTGTTGCAGGTCATGTTATGGGGAAAAACGTTGGAAAGATCCTAAAGAACAATAAACTGTCTGATGTGTTGCAGATCATGTTATGGGGAAAACGTTGGGAAGAATCGAAAGAACAATAAACTGTCTGATGTGTTGCAGGTCATGTTATGGGGAAAACGTTGGGAAGATTCGAAAAGAACAATAAACTGTCTGATGTGTTGCAGGTCATGTTATGGGGAAAACGTTGGGAAGATTCGAAAGAACAATAAACTGTCTGATGTGTTGCAGGTCATGTTATGGGGAAAACGTTGGGAAGATTCGAAAGAACAATAAACTGTCTGATGTGTTGCAGGTCATGTTATGGGGAAAACGTTGGGAAGATTCGAAAGAACAATAAACTGCCTGATGTGTTGCAGGGAAAGATCATGTTATGGGGAAAACGTTGGGAAGATTCGAAAGAACAATAAACTGCCTGATGTGTTGCAGGTCATGTTATGGGGAAAACTCGTGTGGTGTTGAATCATTATCATTTTGGACCAACGGTGATCCTGAAAATAGATAACGCTGCTTTTAACGGTATTCTGGATATGTAATTGCGTGCCAGCTTAAAAGAGTGGAAAGGCCGAATTATTGCAGATCTCAGACGTTAGTGAACTCATATTTGGAATCGAACCCTTGTCATCGGCGTGACGAGCGATCGCTTTAACCACTAGGCTACCCCACCGCCCTTATGAGTGTGGTGCTGACAAATCCAGAAACCTGATCGGGGCGTACCTAGGTTCGAATCCACAATAAAATATTTCTTAGGGACGCAACTCTGTACAGTAATTAGACGACTGATTGATAGGACGACAGGATCATACCTGACAACCCCCACCCCCACCCCCCATCCCGCACTCTCTTTCTACCCACAGCATTAGAAAGAGACCCTTAGGGCAGGACAACGAGAGTAATAACCTACGTCACTCTGGTAAGAAGAAGGTATTTTCAGGAGTTTCTGTATACTGCAGTCCAACATGTGGGCCTTAGATAACATGATGGGGTTCATGTTGCAGATGGTGACGGTGGGGAACGGGAGAGACGTGAAGCCGAGTTTCACCGAGGTCTTGATGGGGTAGCTGTAGAAGGTTGTGAAGAGTTGGACAAGCTGAGCGATCATCACGCCAGTAGCGGCCAGGAAGAACAACGCCCACATCACCTGGAAACATGCATTTCAAATGAAAATGATAATAATAATAATGATAAGAGTACTTTTATAGCGTCTCATCCACATCACTGAAGGACATGCTCTAAGCGCATGCATGTCATAGTTCATTATTACCCCGGATTACCCAAGCTGCCTGTGAGTCGCAAGAAGGTTATAGTCACCTGACTTATCCCACCGGGTACCCATTTTCTGCTGGGTGAACAGAGGCAAGTTTGAACAGACTCACTTGCCTAAGGTGAGACCACATGCATCACATGTGCTTCGTTGTGGGGCAGGAGTGAAGTCCTCCAAGATTCTTTCAGATTATTTAACTGAAGCTGTTCAGCCTGTTAATAACTGAGTCTTATCGTATTGTTTCATGATATATGCTTATGGTGAACCCGTGAAGATCCGGATTAGAATTGATCTTCAGTAACCAATGTTTGTCGTAAGAGGCGACTAACGGGATCGGGTGGTCAGGCTCGCTGACTTGGTTGACACATGTCATCGTATGCCAATTGCGTAGGTCGATGCTCATGCTGTTGATCACTGGATTATCTGGTCCAGTCTCGAGTATTTACAGACCGACGCCATACAGCTGGAATATTGCTGAGTGCGGCTTTTAACAACAACCAAACCAAACATGTAGAGAGTATCATCAATATAGATATGAATGTAGTATCTCATTTATGGGATAAAGATTTACTTCCAATGTTTGTCGTAAGAACAATTTAAAGTTGGATCAGATTGGCGCAGTGGCATCTTATGAATATTACTTCGATGGGCACTTCTTGAAAAAACTTTCCTCTGCTATAATCTGGGTGATTTGGCGATGCCTCGCTCTCTCACAAAATGGTTAGACGTCATCATTCACCGGGTCGCAAACATCCAGGACTCTCAGAACCTATGTGTACTGTGCTTAAATCCTGATGGTAATGGCGGCGTCCATTCAGTCGAACTCTTACCTTGAATACAAGTCGTGGTGACGCCCATATCTTGGGTATTCCCATGAACGAAGTACTTTCTGCAAAGTACGTGAAGAACGTGACACAGTTACCACGTGGCTTTTCTTTCTCTTTATCTTCATCGTTGATGGGTTGTACTTGCAGCTTCTGGAAGAAAAATAGTATCGATACTGACAGTAATGTGGTGTGTTTCTCATGTTCGAGATTGTATGAGTCCTTAAATTAAATACAGCAATACGATCAGTACCATCGAAGAGTGAATAAGTTAGGTTTACGCCGCTTTTAGCAATATTCCAGCAATGTCACGGTGGGGGACACCAGAAATGGGCTTCACACAATGTACCCATGTAGGGAATCGAACCCGGGTCTTCGGCGTGACGAGCGAACGCTTTAACCACTAGGCTACCCCACCGCGCGTACCATGGAAGAAACGTCAATATAATGAAAGTTGAGTTCAGTAGTATGAAATAAGCAGTAATACCAACTAGTAGTCAATACCAACAGCGTAAAAGTAGCGTCATTACCATGAGAGCAACAGTCAATATCCGCCAACCTGGTGCGGTAACCGTATTCCATTCATGCGAAACCTAAACCAATAAACTGTAGGATTCTGTGCACAACTAATCCTTGGTACGTTGGACAAAAATATACTTCATAAATGTGTCACAGTTACATTAATATAGCCAGTAAAATATAACATCAGGCGATTGGGACAAGAGAAACACAATACAATATGTACATCAAGGGTCTGGGAGTGGGACATGGGTATAGTGAGGATATCCCAAATAATAGCGGTGTATCTCACAGCTGGATTTATCAGGTTCAAATTCACATAGTATATGGGAACCAATGAAAATGACAATATTTTATTCCTGATTGTATTCCGCAAAATGTGTTTGTAGTTTATCGCTGCACTTACCAGCTACACGACGGCGGTCTGTAATCAATCGAATCTACGACAACCGATTATTGACGTCATAATCTGGGATACGATAATATGCTGCAATTGTGGGTGGCAGGATCCCAGTTCAACTTCTTATCTTCACGGGATGTACTCCATAACATGATATACATGTATTTATAATGTTCCCTTCCTTGTCTAACTTCTACCAGGATATCGTAGTTGTACCTTCTACCAGGAATTTACTCGGGATAACCATAGTGGTACCTTCTACCTATACTTTACTCGGGATACCATAGTGGTACCTTCTACCTGTACTTTACTCGGGATACCATAGTTGTACCTTGTACTAGGACTTTACTTGGGGTGCCATAGTGGTACCTTCTACCAGGAATTTACTCGGGATACCATAGTTGTACCTTGTACCAGGACTTTACTTGGGATGCCATAGTGGTACCTTCTACCTGTACTTTACTCGGGATGCCGTAGTTGTACCATCTACCTGTACTTTACTCGGGGTGCCATAGTGGTACCTTCTACCAGGAATTTACTTTGGATGCCATAGTGGTACGTTCTACCAGGACTTTACCCACGACGCAGTAGTTGTACCTTGTACCAGGACTTTATTTGAGGTGCCATAGTGGTACCTTCTACCATGACCTTACTCAGGATACCATAGTGGTATCTTCTACCAGGACTTTACTTGTGGTGCCATAGTGGTACCTTCTACCAGGACTTTACTTGACATGACATAGTGGTACCCTCTACCATGACTTTACTCAGGATACCATAGTGGTACCTTCTACCAGGACTTTACTTTGGGTGCCATAGTGGTACCTTCTACAAGGGGAATTTACTCGGGATGCCATAGTGGTACCTTCCACCAGGAGTTTACTTGGGATGCCATAGTGGTATCTTCTACCTAGACTTTACTCGCGATGTCATAGTTGTGCCATGTACCACGACTATACTCAGGACGCAGTGTTCGCCATATATAGCTCGTGGGTAGTCGGGATGCCATGATTGTATTTGCGATGTCCCGTATACCGTATGATCCGTTCAACGATAACGTATTTGAACCATGATTGTACATGCTTGAAACCCGTGGAAAGCTTTCAGCATTAGACAGTATTGTACTACAACGAGACTATAACCGATAACACGTAGACTCACTGAGCACTAATGAGCTGTATGCTAATAACGGTTCCACCTGATTAAGCCCAACATTCCATGTCCCGTTTCTCATTCATCCCTCTGTCGACATCTCTATTGTCCGCGTGTTGTCGCAGACATTTAGACATCAATAATACGATTTCCACAAAGATTATAGATGGAATAGACCATGGTGCGAATACCAGCAATTGTCTGTACGGTTTAATGACGTTCACAGATAAACAGCCGATGTTTACACTGATAGATCGGTCAGCTATTTTCACCATGTCAATTGTCCAGGTGGAAGGCTAACGTGAGTAAACAGGCCAATGCCCACAGGCAGGGAGAACATCAGTCATATCCATGACAGTTACAGAGCAACATAACCATCTCCTGTTTGAGTGAAAAGACAATTATTATTTTGAAAAACAATTTGAAAATTTAATCAAATAAAAACATATCGTTTGTCTTACCAAAAATATGAACTGTGTGCAGGGCGTGTGTGATGTCAGGGTTAATTACAGAAACAAAGTAAATTTTGTTATTTCTTCCAATAAAATGGGTGTGTCTTTTGAAGTAGGAAAACATACCCTGTGGCTGACAAAATGTAATATCCAAGAACTCACATATTCAGCCCCAGAATATGGAACGTTATGGTGGGTTCCATAACTAACAGTGCTATCATGTGCACCACACAGTGAGTGAGTGAGTTAAAATTCATATCGGCAGTATTTCAGCCATATCGTGATAGGGTCCATGGGGAGTGCACCACACACAGACTTGTACCAACTAAGGAAACATGGGAAAAGAATATCGCAACACCCACTGATTTTATTGCATCAATATGTTACCATTACCCATAGAAAATAAACTTATTTAAACCTCCATTTCACTTTCTATCTGGATAAGTTGAGTGAGTGAGTTTAGTTTTACGCCGCTTTTAGCAATATTCCGAGCAATATCACGGCGGGGACACCAGAAATGGGCTTCACACATTGTACCCATGTGGGGAATCGAACCCGGGTCTTCGGCGTGACGAGCGAACGCTTTGACCACTAAATACCCACCTCCCCTGGATAAATTTGTGACGCAAGGAATGGTAAATCAAATGCAAAAGAACGAAGATCTGCAGTTTGTTCAGAGGAAGAAAATACTGCTCATTTTGTAGTGCTGATAACTATGGACATATGACCTTAACAAGGGCGGTCAGTTAGAAGATTCTAGTATACAATCCTCCAGCATCAACAACCGTTCACTCTATGGTGTATCTCCGCCGACTGCAAAACATCCATGACCCGCCTCATTGATTGTATCAGACCTTGTCCTTGAGGTATAGTGTTCCATTCCTGATGGCGGGCCTGTTTCCATCAATCAGGGTTTGGTACTGGAGGATCTCCCTGTCGTATTCTGCGATACAAAATGTCCCAAACATTCTTGAGATCTAGACGGACCAAGGTAAAGGTGCTACCGCCACTTGACGTACATCTACAACGGTACATGCACGATGTGACCTTGCATTGTCGTCTATGAAGACTGGCCATGTGTTTAGAGGATGATCATAGAAAAGTGGTACAAAGAACCATATCTAGGATGTCAGTATGTATCGTTACAATTGTCCAATGGCATTCAGATTTTGTCTGATCGTCACAAGATTAAGTTCACATAATTGTATCGCTCTCACTATGAAACCAGCATTCAGAAATTAACGTTGGTGCTTAGGCCCCGGAGCCGACTGAAAACTACTCGGACCCACAGCGTATGTTTTCTGCAGGTAATTATGGACGGCAACGTTTTCATCCCCAGTATCTAAGAGTATTATTTCCATAAACGAGAATATAGGGCCTACACATTTTGATCAGAACGTTTTTATGGTTCTGGGCCTAAATTTTCGAGCTCTCTTAGCGTTAAGATAGCCGTAAGTTAATGTTAATGTTTGGCACTTACGTTTGGCGCTAAAGAGCTTCGAAAATCTAGGCCCTGGGTTCTTAGGGCTGCAACTTGTATCAGGAGTTAAGGGCAAACACTGTATGAAACCCGAACACAGAGGACCCTTCTTCATGAGATCAAATTACAGTGACGTCGACCTTGACACCAAGCTAGTCTGGGGGTAATAGGCTGTATATTCGGACGAGTATAGGCGAATTCGGACCGTTCTGTTGGACAAACGACAAATTGTTAAATAACGGGTTCGCATGCTCGTCATTGATCATTTCAAAAATCAGTTTCAATGTGGGGGTTGAAAATCATAGTTGTTGCGATACATTTTTCCATGTGTACAACTCTCTTTAAACGTAACAACAGATTGGACCTGATGACTACAGAGACATTGGAATTATTTTGTTGAAACATGATATCGACATTTCATTACAGCCCCTTGCAGAGACCATTTTGTTTGTATTTGGCATTATTATCAAGGAACGGTACCGACCTCTCTGAAAAATCGTAGCTTTAACTGACACAACACAGTTAGAGTATTGTGGACCTGGTAATGTGTTCTTTGTTCAACCAACAAAGCTGATTATATAATCTATGCCAGCTAATATGTTTATAGTTGCAGAGTTAATATAGCAAATGAGCTTTAATGTAAGAAGACCAGCGAATCCGGCCTGAAGCAGCAAACGTAATTTATATCACAGGCTAACATACTGTGGTAGTACTTTGGGGTATTTTGGGTAAAGTTCTAGTTCTATCCGGGTTGGGTTAACACAACATAGGTTTTAGTGTTTTCCCGGCTATGCTAATATGCATAGCCGCAACACACACCGACAGGTTGGTTTGTACTGCCTTGCATGTGGCAGCACATGAACTGCCTGTGCCTCTCGCCCTATAGTCTTTAGCCCATTGGACGCTTACTTCGGGTACTTGAATTCTGGTCACGGCGCCAAATCTGTAATAAGCTATGGTCTGTTTGCAGTAGAAAACGTACTGGACGAATTTCACTTTAAGCAAAAGATAAATCAAATAAAGTGAAATTAAGATTGCGAATCGTCATGATTTTACCTTGCCAATTGAACCTTTAAATCTCAGAATTTGATTCAACTTAGGATAAAAGTTGTTTGACGATCATAGTTTCAAACCGCTATTATTGGCAGCA